TACATACCTTCTTAAATCTTGGATGTTTTTATCCCACATGGAGCAAGTCAAGCCGAACCGTGTCTGGGCTAAATTGCCCATATAGTTTGTCCCATTCCCTCGGAAACAATCTGTGTGTTTTGGTTTAAAAGAAAAATCAAGTTAGTTAAGAGAAACCCTTGTATTATCATTGCTGCCATTTGAGATACAGAAATTCTTTCTGGATATTCCTTAACTCAACTTCGAAAATGTTTACATTATAGAGTACACCTTACCTTGTTCAAGTTAATATAGCATAGAAATACAGGTCGATTGATACTTTAATAGGGCATATGAATGAATGTGTAAAAATCCATAGGCAGATGGGTTCAAGTGAGGTCAGAATAGCCGAATAACAGAGTTTGAAGGGACCCTGGAGGTCTTCTAGTCTAACCTCCTGCTTAGGCAAGAAAGACTAGACCATTTCAGACAAGTGGCTGTCCAATCTCTTCTTAAAAACCTCCAGTGATGGAGAAGGAAGGGAGGGAGGGAGGAAGGGAGGAAGGAAGGATAACAAAATAACAGAATTTGAAGGGATCTTGGAGGTCTTCTAGTCCAACCCCCTGCTCAGGCAGGAAACCCCATACCATTTCAGACAAAGGGTTGTCCAATCTCCTCCTAAAAACCTCCAGTGATGAAGCACCTACAACTTCTGGAGGCAAGTTGTTCCACTGGTTAATTGTTCTCACTGTCAGGAAATCCCTCCTTAGTTCCATAGTCAGGGGTCACCAACCTTTTGGACCTCAGGGACCACCAAACTCATAATTTTAAATCCCACAGACCAGAGACCGTGGGAAAATCCCCCCAAAAAGTCTGCAGGAAAATCTCCCACCCCATTTTCCTACCCATCGATCATTCTTAATTTGGGATCGCAGGATACTGTCTCCAGCTCCATTCTCAGAGGGAGAGAGAGAGACTTTTGGCTTCATGCAAGGAAAGCAGCAGAAGCAGCAGAAGTCTTTCTTTCTCTCCCCCAAACTTCACCAGAAATGAGTCTTTGCCGGCACAGCCTCTTGGAGCAGGAGGCCTTGCAGGGTTCCAAAGACTCATTTCTGGAAGAGTTGAGGGAGACAAAGAAAGACTTTTGCTGCTTTCCTTGCGTGCAGCCAAAAGCAGAAGAAGAAAGAAGCAGAGAGAAGCAGCCTGGTGGCCAGGCCAGGCACATTGGGTGAGTGGGGCAAGTTCTCCCCCTCCGACCTTCCCCCCTCCCCTCACTAATTCATGTTGTTCACAATGCAAACACCACAAGCCTTATGTTCCCACGCAGCCTGGATTAATTGCTTTGGAGGTGACATTTCTCTGCGGACCACCAAAATTTTCTCACAGGTTGGTGACCACTGGACTAGATGACCTACAAGGTCCCTTCCAACTCTGATTATCTGTTATCTGTTACCTCGCAGCATTGCAGTGCCTGCTACTTCTGGAGACAAGTCATCCCACTGATTAATTGTTCTAGTAGTTGATGAATAGATCTGGAGCTCAATAAATATGTCCCAAGATATTAAATAAATAATCCAGGAATAAGTAAGTGACTTCTTCTTGCCATCTCCTGCAGATAGACTGGAGATGTTTCAGTTTAAATGGTAATTCTGCTGACTGTGAACTTGACAAGGTCAGCCAATGCATTAACGTATTTGAAATCTGCCAGTGTATCTTCAGCACTGCAGTTTAAATCCAGATGTTCTCAGCACGCTGCAGCAGAAACGGAGGGGTTTTCAGTTTGTAGGAGTGCCTTTGCTTATTTGTTAAAACCCAGAGACCACCAGCTAGATAAAAGAATCCCTTGAGTCAACTTTGGCTCTTGATGGCTTTGTAGGCAGGTCTACGAAGCTTTCTTGGCATCACTCCAAAAGTGAATTACCCATGCCTCCTTCCACAAATTTTTATTTTTAAAAATGTTACTTTGGGTTTGGGATTTTAGGATCTCCCCTGAAAGTAGCTAGGTCTAACTCTGCTTAACTTTTTCAACATCAGTCAAGATTTGGGTAGATGCTGCCATCAGCTATCACTAAAAAAAATAAAGATTCTATAAAGTTTCTCAAACTTGGGAACTTGAAGCATTCCTCGGGATGCTGGCTGGGAAATTCTTGGAGCTGAGGTCTACACATCTTAAATTTGCCAAATAAAGGAATACTCCTTCCTTTCTTCCTTCCTTCCAAAATAAAATGCAGATTGAAAACTTTTCTAAACTAAAAGCATGGCCCTTCCTTCCTTCCTTCCTTCCTTCCTTCCTTCCTTCCTTCCTTCCT